CAAAGACTACATTTCCCATGCTCCCTTGCTCTGAGGTGGAGTCATGTGATGGATTCCCGCCAATGGGGTGATGTGATGAATTCCCGTCAATGGTGTGTGTCCTTTCTTGGCTCAGGAGTACTAATGCGGTGAAACCCCGTCTCTACTAAAAAAAATACAAAAAACTAGCCGGGCGAGGTGGCGGGCGCCTGTAGTCCCAGCTACTCGGGAGGCTGAGGCAGGAGAATGGCGGGAACCCATGAGGCGGAGCTTGCAGTGAGCTGAGATCCGGCCACTGCACTCCAGCCTGGGCGACAGAGCGAGACCCCGTAAAAAAAAAAAAAAAAAAAAAAAAGAAGCAAGGACGCTTTTCTACCTCTCTGTTCTCATTCCCCACTCAATAAAGGCTCTAGGGGATGGGGAAGGCAAGGTGGGAAGAACTTGAGTTCTTGAATGAATTCAGAGCACTTTCAATGGGTGTCCACAAAGTCTCTCTATTATCGTACTATACCTTATCTTCTTACCCTTACTGCTGCCATACCTCTTGAGAAACACTCTTGCTCTTGACATCAGAAAGCAATACTTATAAGTTATGCCTTTGTTAGACTGAGGTTTATTTTACCCATAGTATATTTCCACAGAGCCACAAAATGTTGTCATGTTTGAATGAAATAATATTTGTGAAAGCCTCCCCTAGAAATGATATGTAAATACCATCTATTATTGTTATGATGATGATTATTATTATTTCTTTGATGCAATGGTATTAATGGCATAACTCCAATTTACACAATGAACTGTAATTTTTTAAAAGCATTCCCTTATACTGCCATTTAAAGGGTATAACAATACTGGAGGTGGAACATTATTTCTTTATTCCAGATTAGAGGACTAAGGTTCATGGGATTATGTACCAACTTAAGTTCTCCCCACAAGTTAGTGATAGAGAAATGTTGTCTGCAGCCCAGGCAAGTGTCCCTGATACAATTTAGTTGAATTATTAATCACAGCATACATTACAATTTTCTACAAGTCCCCATTCACAATCTTAAGACTCTTAGCCCTCTTTATCATCTAAGAGATTTCTAAACAAGTATATTTTATGTTTTAAAAAAACCATAAAGAGGTTGGGGAATAGGGAAGCATTGTTAGTGGAATCTAGCTTCAACTTTCTGTTGTGAGAAAGAAATATGGACATGTGGCTTTTGGAAGAAAAAAAGCAAAGCTATTTTTCATTAATATCCAGCAACATGAATTTTAAGACAATAAGAAAAAAACAAGCAAACAAAAAATCTAAGAGTTTCCATGTATAACAGGAGGCTCACACAGTCTTTTTTCATTATTTTGTGTTATATAAGCTTTTGTGAAATATGTCAACATAATGCAATCACACATTTTCTGGGCTTGGCTGAGGGGTTGAAGTTTACAGTTTTTCCTCAAGATTTGGCTTTGAATCATTATAAAAATAGCTTATGTGTATAAACATTTTCTATCTTACTTTCTACATGATGGTAGGAGATTGAGGTTCATTTTAAGTAAGTACTTAAAGGAAGAGATAAAAAATGATTTTCAGATGACTGGATTAAAACCCACTGCAGTTTTATTTTTTTAGTGTTGATTCTGGAAAAGTGAGACTTTTATTAGGCAAGGATTTAAACTAATAGGAAAAAAAAAACCACTGATATTTTGCTACAGAAAATACTGAATTTAATACATTCTTAAACAGAGAAAGATAATCTGTCTTGATGTCCTCCTTGCTGAAACAAGAGCAGGCACAAAAACCCACCCTGCAGCCAGGTGGCTGGAGGACAAGGGGAAGTAGGAGGAGGAGGAAGAGGAGGAAAGGAAGAGGAAGAGTAGGAGGAGAAGGAGAAGGAGAAAGAAGGAGGAGGAGGAGGAGAGAAGGAGGAAAAGGAGGAAGAAGAGAAGGAGGAGGAGGAGAAAGAGGAGGAGAAGGGGAGGGAAAAGGAAAGGGAAGAGGAGAGGAGAGGGAAGAGACAGGAAGAGTATATCCCTTTGTGACTATCAAATTAGTTGTTAAAATGATAGCAATTCTTGGGAAGCGTGGAGGTAAAATGTGCACTCTCATAGGCTGGCATAGTGACAATATAAATTGAAAAAAAAACCTCTTTTAAGGGCATTTAAGGAGGAGAATCGGCCCCTGTTTGGAGAGGAAAAACAAGTTTCCAGCATTTTCACACACATAGCTGGAACTAACCTCTGACTTTGTGAAAAGCCTTTATTTCACAGTGTAACTGTTATAAATAACAAGACATAGAAATATATTAGAATATGATATTCTGTATAATGTAATATATATTAGAATAGAAGATAATGAAAAAATAAAAATTATTTGCAATCTCATTCCTCAAAGATAAATATTCTGAACAAGTCCAGATTTTGGTTAGTGTGCATGCACACTATGTAATTGCAGTTTGGATTATAAATCAGATCATGTGGTTTAAAGTTCACCTCCGCCTCCCAAAACCCCAATATGTGATTTGCATAGCTCAACATTAGTCAGCCCCATCCTACGGATGTATAGATATGTCATTAAGTATTTAATCCTATCTTGGGGAACACTTAGACTGTTTCACAACTTTGCCCACCTCTGCAAACAATCCCCATAGTCTCTGAAATTCTGAGATATGGAATGGCCACAGTGAAGTGTATGAGCATATTTAAGGCTCTTGCAAAACATTTCCAAAATGCCCTTCAAAGAGATTTTTCCAATTTGTATTGTCTCCGTGACAGCCTATGAGAGTGTACATTTTACCTCCACGCTTCCCAAGAATTACTATCATTTTAACAACTCGTAATTTGATAGCCACAAAGCGGTATGCTCTTCCTGTCTCCTCCCTCTCCTCTTCTCTTTCCTCTTCACTCTCCTCATTCTCCTCCTTCTTTCTCCTCCTCCTCCTCCTCTTCTTGCAGTAGCACAAATAATAACTTAAAAAGAGATCTTGGCTATTTTTTGTTTGGGTGTTGGTATTTGTGCAAACTCCCTGGTGATTCTAATGTTCAGCCAAGATTGAGTACTGCTGTTCTAGCTTGTGTCTCTGTAGACTTCACTCTACCTCCTTACTTTTATTATAAGATGAAATCTTAGATTGAATCTTTAGATGCAATCTTACTCCAACCTCTCATTCCCCCAAATGGTAGGAGTAAACCCCCAAATTCCAATCACCATGCTGAGTTGAGCCATCAACATCCCTACTTTGCCTCAACTTATTTTATGCACACCAGCGCTGAGACACACCCCACCTTTTGTAAAGTCACCTGGCTCGATGACCTCCTCCTCTTCCTCATCCTCCTTCTTCTTCCTTTCTTCTTCTTTTCTTCTCTCCCTTTCTTTTTACTCCTCCTCCTTCCGATCCCCTTCTTCTTTGCCAAACAACCTAATTTGGCCATCTCTTGGAAGAGTTTTATTTCTTGTTTTGTCCTTACACTTCTTTTTAAAAGTTTTTAACTGACATAGGATAATGTAGGGGGTACATAGTGATGTTTTGATGCATATGATGAATACTGATCAGATTAGGGTAATTAGCATATTCATCTTCTCAAACACATATCATTTCTTTGTGTGGGGAACGTTCAGTTCCCTCTTTCTAACTATTGGAAGCTATAGAATATATTTGTATTACTATAGTCATCCTACAGGGATGTAGAACACTAGAACTTATTCTTCCTTTCTAGCTGTAATTTTGTATCCTCTATATACTGAGCTGTTCAGCCTTAGTTTGCTGAGCAGTAAGAATTAATCTACATAGCAAGCCTTAAATACAGCAAATACATAAGAAGGCATTAATATTGTTCTAAATATAACAAATACTTTGTTCACAGTTATCATTTTTCTATTTTGTTTATGGAACTGCATTTTTGGAAGGTACAGTAGTGTTAAATTGTTTGTAGCTGTATTTTTCAGTTTTTTTCCTTTGTTATTCACTCTTCTTTGTGTTTAGAAAGTCACTCTTCTTTCTGACATGAGATATTGCTCACATACTTTTATAATATTTTTCATCTTTAAATATTAGAATTTGGTCAGGTGCAATGGCTCACACCTGTAATCCTAGCAGTTTGGGAGGCTAAGGTGGGAGGATTGCTTAAGGCCAAGAGTTCAGACCAGCCTGGACAATGCAGTGAAACCATCTCTACAAAAACTTTTTTTAGAAATTAGATGGGTGTGGTGGCGCATGCCTGTAGTCCCTGCTACTTGGGAAACAGAGGAAGAGGATTGCTTGAGTCCGGAAGCTGGAGGCTGCATTGAGTTATGATTGTGCCACTGCACTCTAGCATGGGTGGTAAAGCAAGACCTTGCTTCTAAAATATAGATATAGATATATATATATAATGTATTATATATTATGTATATAAACTGAAAGCATTTGGAACTCACTGGAGTATATGGTGTGAAATCAAGATCTAACTTTGTTTTACCTGAATATTAAACCAATTATTCTAACATCATGTATTAATTTGTTCTCATGCTGCTATGAAGAAATACCCAAGACTGGATAATTTATAAAGAAAAGAGGTTTAATTGACTCACAGTTCTGCATGGCTGGGAAGGTCTCAGGAAACTTACAATCATGGTGGAAGGCACATCTTCACAGGGCGGGAGGAGAGAGAATGAGAGCTGAGCAAAGGGGGAAAAACTCCTTATAAGACTATCACCCCCAATGATTCAGTTATCTCCCACTGGGTCCTTCCCATGATATGTGGGGATTATGGGAACTGCAATTCAAGATGAGATTTAGGTGGGGACACAGCCAAACCATATCACACCATGTAGTAAGTAATTTATTATTTCCTCAGTGACCATAAATGTCACTCACATTAAATACCCATGTGAGTTTCTGTTTTCTGCTTTATTGTAGGGTGTCTTACAACATATTTTAGTGTGAAAACCCATGCTGTCTTATGTTTTCCATATTGTTATATGTGTTCACACTAATTTTTGTCTATAAATAAATTTCATTTACTAAATATTTATCACCAAAAATCATTGAGATTTTAATTGGATTTCTTCTAAAAGATGAATCAAATTTTTAGTATGTATTCTTTATAACATTGTGTTTTCCCATGCAAGGACATATATGTTTCCAGGTTTTCAGCGTCTTTGTAGAAGCCTTGAACGCTTTTGCTAAACTTTCTTGGGAAGGTCTTGTTTATTTGCATCTTTTTCGGCTGAACTACTTAATTGGTCATATTGCCTGTGAAAAAATATAGCTTTCCCTCTCTTCCCATAGTTATATCTCTGGCTTCTTTTTCTTGTTTTATTCTACTGGCCGCTTTCCAAAGTTGTGGTTGGCAATGTTTCTGATTCTTAGAGAAGAAAAATGTCCCTAGGACAGTCTTTTGTAGGTAATGCTCAGAACTCTGGTTCTGATTTTAGCAGATTGTCTAAAAAATAAAACAACAAGGACTTCTGTGTTGAAGAAAATGTGCAACCTGTAGCCAAAAGAAAATGTTCATCGCCTTTAAGAAGAATCTTCCCAAGTCTAGATTACTAAGTGTACTCTGTTTTTGAGAAAGGTTGTTGAAATTGAGCAAGGGCATCCTCACACCTTTATGCATGAGCAGTGCTCTGGAATGGGCTCATTCTGACTTTTAGGAGCTAACCATGAAACATCCAGGAATTGTGTGAGCCATCTGTCCAACCGTTTGTAGCTCGAAATGAACATAGTGGGAGAATTTACACCATGGGAATTGGCAAACACCATTAATAGGTGTGTGTGTATTTTGAGAGCTGGTTTGCTTAGTACATCACCTATTATATAGATAATCTCATCCATGCCTTTATTTAATAAGGGGCATATTCTATATGCCAAACAAGGTAAAAAGAGTTTAATAAAAATTTCAGTAATTAAGGCAAAGTTTCAATGAATAATTATGCCAATAACCAATTGATAATGCAGTTATGATCAGTACTATAAAAGTCAGATGCTGTCAGAGTTTATAAAACAGATGTGTGGTGAAATCTGATGCAAGATTTCCCCTAGGAAATGACGTGTCGACTTTGACCATGCCACTTTGCAGGACTCTTGGTCTATCTCATAAATACATAAACAGTTGTTTCCTGACTGGATTTACCTGCATCACATTCAAGGAAAGCATATTTTATTTTAATAGCTTACCGCAATCAATATAACTCACTTCTGTGGGTATGTCCAGGCCTCAGGATTGACTGGCAGGAGGGAGATCTAAGATGGAAAGAACAAGATAGAGCATTGAGAGTAGAATATGCAGGAGAGTCTCTGCCATCTCTTCTGGGAGGTTTGCCATTTCAAGACTTCCCAGGTTTGCTTTCTCACAAATAAAGTGACCACCAAGTTTTGCTGTTTGGTGTTCAGATACATAATTCTCTCTGTGTGGCAGACTGCTCCCCAGAAAATAAAAAGAATGAATTCCATTGTGTATGTGGACCACATTTGCTTTATCCAATCTGTCATTGATAGGCATTTAGGTTGATTCCATGACTTTGCTATTGTAAATAGTGCTACAATGAACATTCACATGCATGTGTCTTTATGGAAAAATCACTTATATTCCTCTGGGTATATATGCAGTAATGGGATTGCTGGGTTGAAGGATATTTCTGCTTACTATGCAGCCATAAAAAAGAATGAGATCATGTCTTTTGCAGGAACATGGATGGAACTGGAGGCTATTATCCCTAGCAAACTAACACAGGAACAGAAAACCAAATACTGCATGTTCTCACTTATAAGTGGGAGGTAAATGATAAGAAATTATGAACACAAAGAAGGAAACAACAGACACTGGGGTCTACTTGAGGGGGGAGGGTGGGAGGAAGGAGATGAGAGAGGGAGGGAGGGAGGGAGAGGAGCAGAAAAGATAACTCTTGGGTACTGGGTTTAATACGTGAGTAATGAAATAATCTGCACAACATGCCCCTGTGACACAAGTTTACCATTGCAACAAACCTTCACAAGTACCCTCAAACCTAAAATAAAAGTTAAAAAAAAACTAATGAATTTCACATGGTTTGAAAAGAAATGAAATAAAAATATAACTCAGAGTACTTCATATTCTCTAACTTCCCACCCAAATTAATTCTACATACATATTTAAGTAGGTTCTTGGAATTTTCCCCCCTCCATGACCGCCTTTTTTGCTTTCAGTTTGTCAATAACCCAAGGTACCAACAGGGTTTACTTTACCAAGCATTATTCATGTTCCCTTTATGCAATAGAAGCACCATTTTTCTATTGTATTTGCTGTTAAGATAGCTGATGAAATATCAGAACAACATGTTTATGAATGAGTTGTTTTTAATTGAACTCAAACTTTAGTTCTTAGCGACAGAATTCCAAGTATAGTTGGCCTTGCATGACAGTTTGAACAAAAAGGGATGTGATAATTCAATGTTGTTCCATATATTTTAGTTTCAGTCATTTACACTTTTCCATATTGGGTGAATACCTACCATTGAACATGATTCACCATCTGGTGGAAGAAATGAGACAGACGCCCCAGTGAGTGTTGACAGGCTAGATGACCTCCTATACGCTCATTAGCAGAGGTAGATGAGGGAACTATAAAGGGAATAAATTTGGGTTAGAAACGGGGTCTTAGAAGAAAAGTCACTCAAGGATGACTTTGATTTGTACAAGCCCCTTTAGAAGGGAATTGTCAGCTTGAGCCAGACCCAGGGATGTGGTTCTTTAGGGTGATTTTGGGAAAGAATGAGTGGTTCAGTTTGGCTTAAAGATGGGTTGTATGGGGTTTGGGGTAGAAGAAAATGCTGGACATGATGTGCTGCATTTTATTTACTTTTTTATTTTACTTATTTATTTTTAGAGACAGGCTCTCGCTCTCACTCAGGCTAGAGTGCAGTGGTGTGATCATAGCTCACTGCATCCTTGACCTCCTTGGTTCTAATGATCCTCCAATCTCAGCCTCTCAAGTAGTTGGGAATACAGGTGCACACCACCATGCTTGGCTAACTTTTTAAATTTTTTGTAGAGACAGGATTTTACTATGTTGCCCAGACTGGTCTCAAACTCCTAACCTCAAGAGATAATCCCAACTTCGTTTCCCAAAATGCTGGCATTATGGCTGTCAGCCACTATTCCCAGCCCCTGTACTGCATTTTAAAGCATGTTCCGTATTGGAGTTAATTGGATAGTCAATATGGAACAGTTGTGGGGTTTTTGTTTGGTTTAGCAAGATACTTTGGAATATGTAATCAGTAAGGAATTTAAACAACATTAAATAACATTAACTAAGCATGGCGACTTTGATTGATTTGCATTAGACAAAATTAATTGGCTTCCTCATAAAAATTAGTTAGGCGTTGCTTGTCAGATCAGTGAGAAATTTCACGAAAATTAATAGGGGATTGAGTTGGATTGATTTCCATTATGCAAAATTAATTGATCACCTGGTCAAAATTAGTTAGGAGGTGATTGTCATGATTTAGACAAGGATTAATAAAAGTTTGATATAAAGTGGTTCTAGAGAAAATAGAAATTGGGAAAAATAGTTGCAAAATATAAGAGAGCTTCTTAGAATTTGGTGATTGTCTGCTTGTAAAAGAGGAAATATAAGTTTCAAAAAATATTTGAACCTGAGTGACTATGAGTAACAGGTCTCATTCAACCAGGGTGGGGATGTTGAAAGGGGGACTGTTTTTCTAGATAATGAATTGAGGGTATCATGCAAACAATTAAAAATAACAAAGACAGATATCCATTCAATATCACCAGATTCAGAAACAATCACATTAAAATGATTTTTCTTTTCCATTATTTTAAAGTTCAGTTTCCTTGACTGTTCAATATTTATTAGTATGTTCGAAGCCAAAGACACAAAGAGAAGAAAGCTTAGAGTATGAGGACAAAAATGAAAGTGTAGCCAGGTACAAAAAGGATTTGGAGACACAGAGCAAAGTGTTGAAGGAAGTACACTGGGAATTTTTATTTGGGTTTTGAGATCCAGTTATTATAACCCCAAGTGTGCGCTGGTTGCAGTTGCTGAAAGGTTTATTAGCTTCCTGTAAAACCTTCCTTTATTAGCCCAAACTGAGGCAATGCAGCTTCAAACAAGAAAATCTGCCTTTGTCAAAAAGTGCACTCAAATCAGCTTAGAGAACCACAGGCCAGAGAACAGTCCTAGCTGGCCTGCAAAACTGCACCCTTTACTGCTGAGACCCCACTGTGATTCATGGCCCATGGGGTCATCCAGCAGGAATTGGGGGCACCGCAGCCCACTGGAAGGAAAGCCCAGAAATAATGGCTCCCTGCAGGTATTCACAACAAAGACTCATAGAGGTATGGAGACAACCTCAGGGTGCAGCTTTTACTGAGTCCATGGACATGACTCAGACTCTGCTTCTTCCACTGTGAGCTACAAAATTAGCACGAGAAAAATTAAGAAGGGTTAAAAAAAGTCACGTTTGCTTTTCAAGAGAGGGGAGACTCAATGTGTTCAGTTTTCATCATCACGAATGGTATATGTTCAATGAGATGAAGGAAATTCTCATTAGTTGAAAGGTTTAATTGATCTTGGTGCAGCCCTTATGCCCACAAAACAACTGCCCACTGCCAGTTAATTTGCCAGGATAAATAAAGCAAGCTGGACCCGTTCGGGCTTGGTGCATGACTTCAGTGTTAAGGGTGGAGCCCACAAAAACTTGCACTTCTCCCAAATCTCTTTAAAGCTCTTTCCACATGCCTATAGAATGAATCACGTTGGAGCTGAAATCTCTAGTAAGTGCACTAGTAAAGTAAGAGGTCGAGATGAATTATATACTTGTATGCAGTTGCAGTCCATCAGATTTTTTATTTTATTTTTCGGTAACTGTAACCATGGGAGCACAAAGGAAGGTCAGGCAGAACAAGAAGTACTGCCGTAAGATTTGAAAAACCCTTCATTATAATTTTCTCATTTTATTAGAAGATGTGTAATGACAGAAGCCACGTAGACCAAGGATACTAAAAGATTTAACAAAAGTCATGCAACAACACATGACCAGATGAAGCCTGGATAAGAAAACATTCAGACAGACAGAAGGGAATCCTATGATGGAAGTGATAAGAGAGCATTATTAAGGCAAAAAATAATCAAAATAATATATATAAACACTTACTGATATTGTTGCAGTGTACAGTGTTGATGTCAAAGAAATGTTCGACAACCACATTAAAAAATGGGCAAACAGCCAGGCACAGTGGCTCTCACCTGTAATCCCAGCACTTTGAGAGACTGAGGCAGGCAGATCACTTGAGGCCAGCAGTTTGAGACCAGCCTGGCTAACATGGCGAGACCTGTCTCTATTAAAAATACAAAAATTAGCCAAGTGTGGTGACACATGCCTGTAGTCCCAGCTACATGGGAGGCTAAGGCAGGAGAATTGCTTGAATCCGGGAGGTAGAGGTTGCAGTGAGCTAAGATCATGCCTCTGCACTCTAGAATGGGTAACAGAGCAAGATACTATTTCCGAAAAAAAGAGAAAAAAAAGAAAAAAAAGAAAGAAGGGGCAAAGGATATGGACAGACACATCTAAAACAAAGACATACACATAGCCAACAAACATGAAAAAATACTTCATATTACTAATGATCAGAGAAATGCAAATTAAAATCACAATGGAATTCCATCTCACACCAGAATGGCTATGATTAAAAAGTCAAAAACAACAGATGCTCCCAAGATTGCAGAGAAAAGGGAACACTTATACATAGTTAGTGGAAATGTAAATTAGCTCAGCTACTGTGGAAAGCAGTTTGGAGATTTCTCAAAAAATGAAAACAGAACTACCATTCGACCCATCAATCCCCATTACTCAGTATATGCTCAAAGGAATAAACGTTGTTCTACCATAAAGGCACATGCACGTGTATGTTCGTTGCAGCACTATTCACAATAACAAAGATAAGGAGTCAACTTAGATGCCTATTAAGAGCAGACTGAAGAAAGAAAATGTGGGTGCATATACAACATGGAACACTATCAAGCCATAAAAAGAATGCGATTGTGTTCTTTGCGGCTACATGGATGGAGCTGGAAGCCATTACTCTAAGCGAATTAACACAGGAATGGAACAGGAAACAAAATACCACATGTTCTCACTTATAAGTGAGAGCTAAGCATTGAGTACACATGGACACAAAGGTGGGAACAATATACACCAACTCCTACTTGAGGGTGGAGGGTGGGGATCAAAAAACTACCTATGGGATACTATACTTATTACCTGGGTGATGAAATAATCTGTACACCAAACCCCTGTGACGTGCAATTTATCTATTTAACAAACCTGTACATGAACTCTCTGAACATAAAATAGAAGTTGGAGAGAAAAAGTAAGTAACAATCAATCAATCAATCAATCAATGTATGAGACTTACCTGAATGCTATAATATTTTATAACAAATGAAATATATATTCTTTGAGCAATGCAGAAATAAAGTTTTTTGTTTAATTGTACATCAAACAATTTATAAGGTGATTTCTGCAAAAGATAAGGCTACAAAATATATTGCTTTTGCAGAGAGATCATTGAAAAACTACTAAGATAATTGGCAAAAAGAGCAAGGGTTCTTGAATTAAGAAAATGGAAAGATAACTCCAGTATGCTAAGTGAATGATATTGACTAGTGCTTCCTCTAGGTTTCCAGGAATGCCTGATGAAGCAGATAGTATTTGTCCGTTTTCCGTGTGCGAATTGGGACTCACAGAAAGCAGATGATGTGAATAGCTGTCAAAAGTTGGTCCATTGGAGTCAGATGTGGGTACAGCTCAGCTGTGCCACTTTCCTTGGTGGTGGTATTGGTTCATTCTTGTGCCTATTGTGCAGCCATGGGCTGCAAATCTAGAATTAGAGCTGAGGTCTTGGCAGCTGCAGATATTCTGCTCTTTTTATTACTCCTTGATCCTCCTGCAGAGAGTCTGACACAGAAACAGGAGAATTAGTATATGTACTTCAGCATTTAAACAGGATCCGACATCAACTTGTAGCTGCTTTCCCAATAGTTCATGCAAACAGAAGACTTCTAAACATGTCATGTCTCTGTTGGGTCAAATAAAGTGGCTCCATTCTGGAATTTTCCTTAACCATATTTTAGTGTGTATTTTCTGATATTTTCCTTAACATTACTTAGAATATTAATGACTCTTGACTGAGTATCTTGAGCTAGGCACTGGGCTGGGCATTTTGCACTGAAGTCTACAGTCTTTCAGAAAACCCCAGAGGTGTGTATGCACTACATGGCCCCAAGCCCAAGTTGAGGGAGAGAAGGGAACTAGTTTTAGGTGGCACTTCTAGGAAGAGGTGAAGCTGAGTTTTGCACTCTTGCCTGTAAACAACAAATCTCAACAATGTTTTAGGTTTATTCCATAGTGAATGATAATTATTATCACCTTTAGGATTTCTGGTGTGGTTCCTGCATGTCAGTCATAATGAAAAGCAACAACATGGATGACCTTCCAGACAATGTACTCTGAATGCACAATTTTAACTGGCTCAATATATACATATATATATTGAGCAATGCAGAAATAAAGTTTTTGTTTAATTGTGCATTGAATAATTTATGAGGTGATTTCTGCAAAATATAGGGCCAGAAAATGTATTGCTTTTGCTGAGAGGGCATTGAAAATCTGCTAGAATAATTAGCAGGAAAAGCGAGGTCCTTGAATTGAGAAGATGGAAAGATAGGGAACATTTCTTCATGGCTGAAAGTGTCATTTTGCCTGGCTGGAAAAGATGAGAACCATGATTAAGGGGTATGTCAACCAAGAGATAACATTTTAGTCCGTTCTGTGCTGATATAAAAGAATACCACAGACTGGATAATTGAAAATGAGCAGAAATTTATTTCAGTCATGGTTCTGGAGGCTGGGAAGTCTAAAATCAAGGGGTTGCATCTGGTGAGGGCCTTCTTGCTGTCTCCTCCCATGGAGAAGGCATCACATGGTGAGACAGAACAAGAGATCAAACTCACAACCTCAAAGGCTTTTATAATCCATTCATGAGAGTGGCGTTCTCATCACCTAAACACCTCCCAAAAGTCCCCACCTCCCAACACTGTTGCATTGAGAATTAAGTTTATAACATATGCTTTTTAGGAGACACATTCAAACCATAGCAGATACTCATAACAAACTTTTTAAACGTATATTCGTGTATTCCATTAGGCAAATATAGGTTATATATATATTTATATTATATATGATATTCATATTTAATATGTAAATATATTATGTAAAATATATAAATATACATTATATATGATATTTATTTTATATAAATTTATATATTATATGTAAATATATATTTATATAAAATTTTATATACATATATTTTATATATTTATATATAAATATATAGAAAATATTTCATTCCAACATATATTCCATTCTAATATTATATATATAACTTCAATATATTTCTAGATATGTTTTATATGTTTTATGTGTTTCAAGATAGATACAGATATTGGTACAACAAAGATACATAACTTTTCATGGCTCAGGAGTTCATTTCTTTTTAGCACTGAATAATATTCCATTGTTGATAAATTGATGTTGAGGAAGGCTATACATTTATAGGGACAGGGGTTCTGGGGAACTCTTTGTACCTTGTGTTCAGTTTTGCTATGAGCTTAAAACTGCTCTAGAAAATAAAGTCTATTAAAAAATATGTACCAATCAAGCTAAACTATGAAAAACTAAATTTTGTTAAATCTAAAATATTCCCTTTCTTAAAAAAAAAAAGTATAATGTCATCTTCTTTGCTGAGACAAAAGGGAAACATTAATTATTTTCTAAGAAGTATGGGTATGAAGACTCTTCTCTTTAGGTCTCTAAAACTTCTTTGTCTGTTCCTTCTGTATAAGCAGAACTTTGGGTGCCTGGCTTCCTCCATCAATGGGCCATGTGGGTGGACAAAAGAAAGAGCAAGGTTCTTGAATTGAGTATTAGTTCTTTCTCCTGCTATTGGAGCCAAGGTGGAGTGAAAAATGCTTTGTACAGTGGAAAGGTGCAATGTTGAGTCAAACTGTTTTGTTTATTCAATTGACATCCTTTGAGGAAGCACCATGGCAAGGCTTGTGCTTCTGCAGATCCTGGACTAAAATTAGAATAAATATGCAGTTCTTGCTGGTGCAAGGCCAGCATTAGATGCCTCCCATGGGTAAAATTCCCAGAGAAAAATAGGAATCTGAGTATTCAATACATCCATCTTAAAAGCTAAAGCAAAACCCAATTTTCATCAGTTTTAAATTTCATTCCTTAAAAGAATTAAAAATACAATTATATTTTTTTAAAAACACTTAGATTCCCTCTCATTCTATTTGTAAGCCTTGTTATATCCATGTGATTTATGTATGATTCCACAGAAGTAGACCCTGAGAGGAAGAGCTCCCAAGAAACCTGTAGGAATGTTGGTGAAACCAGCCGGGGTCGGGTAGGGGAGAAACATAAATCAAGCAAGGTGGGATCTCAGGCCAAGTTGTAGGGAAGAAAAGTTTCATTTTGCATACTTCAAATCAGTGCCTGCACACTAATTTTTATACATTTTAAACACAGGTTACCATCATTTTAGCTCAGCATTCTGTGTGCAATTGATAGCAATTTTCTCATAATTAACTAATGTGTTCTCTTCATGAGCTCACTCCCAAATTGTTGGCCATATCTGGTCTATACCCTGGAATGCATCATTTCTGCACATCTCTCTGAAAGATAAAATTTCAGTTTATTTCCAATTTGTTAATATATTACTCCCTTCCCCCCTCCTTAAATTTTTGTGCTAAATTTTCTAAAGCTTGGTCCCTAAATTATGTCCTGGTGATAGAAGAACCAAGAACAGGTAATATATCATGTTCCTTAGCCCACATGTGGTTATCTGGACCTGTTATATGGTCTTGTCTTGCTGACCACCTGGTTTCATTCTTGAAAGATAACTTCCCTTGAATCTACTTTTCCAAACCTTTACTCATTCTATGATCTTTGTGAGAAGGATTTCTGCACTTTTCATAGTAGGGCAGAGCTACATTTTGAACTATCAACACACATGTGAAATCATCCCTACAAACTTTATAAAATTTATCAGGGAAAAAAGAAGGGGGAGAAATGAAAATAAACCAAGCTCACAGCACACTCAACACTCATTCTGAGGTCAGCTTACTCCCTGACCTGCTTCGTCATAGTTGTTTGGTGCCTCTTGTCCTAGAATCACATAGACCTTTGATTAGAGTTCCCTTAACTACTTTGTAGATAACAACTTCAACATTATGAAACAAGTTTTCCCTCTGAGATATTCTTTCAGGCCCTGCATACTGATGAAACTACTGATGCCAGCTGGTCTGAAGGACACCACAAGAAGGTAACTCACCAAAGAATGCAGTTTCCATATCCTGATGACTTCATCCTCCTTACCCAAAGCAGTCAATGACCCGAATTTTCCAGCTCCTTATCCTCTACAATCCCTTTAAAAACTACAGCTCAGGATTCCACAGGGAGACAGATTTGAGGGTCTTCTCCCATTTTTCTCACTCAGTGTCCTGCAAAAATTAAGCTCTTTCTCTGCTGCAAACCCTGTTGTCTCAGTGTATTAGTTTGTTACTGCACAGTGGGCATATAGACTCTGTGGTCCTATAACACATAGTCCAAGACAGCTGTTGTTGGGTAAGTCTTTCAGGTCCTACTTGTCTGCATACAAAGTTTCAAAAGGGAGAAGACTATAAGATGTCTTCACTGGCTACAAATAAAATGTCTTAGAAAAACTCCCATGTTACTTTCTTCAGTCTTCCCAGTGGTTCTCAAAGTGTGGTACCTGGACCAGCCTCATCACCTGGGAATTTGTTAGAAATGCAAATTATAGAATCCTTCCCTAGACCCGCCAAATGAGAAGGAGTGGGACCCAGCATTCTGTGTTTTGACAAGCCCTCCATAAGCTTCTAATGCTCCCTTGACATTGAGAACCACTGGTTAGGACTGCTATCTCTCTCATCAAATCTCATTCAGATCATGATCTAATTAGCAAACAAGACTGTGAGTCATTCCGGAACTGACCTGCCTTTTTTTCTTTATATATACCAAAGCTTTCTGTGTTTCAGCTGACTAAATGGGTGGAATTCAGGAAGGAGCAGCCAGTTTATGAGGGCACTGTGAAGATTTAACATATTATGGTGGGGTTGCAGATTAAATGCACACACGGACTTAAAAAAATTGAAACATTACAATATAAGACACAGAGATCAAACATTTCCAAGCTTTAAGAAAATCTAAGACTGAACACAGTGGCTCATGCCTATAAATTCTAGTACTTTGGGAGGCTAAGGTGGAACGATTGCTTGAGGCCAGGAGTTCGAGGTTAGCCTGGGCAACACAGTGCAACTTTGTGTCTACAAAAAAACTAAAAAATTTAGCTGGGTTTGATGGCATGTGCCTCTAGTCCCAGCTACTTGGGAGGCTGAGGCAGGAGGACGACTTGGGCCCAGGAGTTTGAGGCTATAGTGAGCCATGATTGCACCACTGCTCTCCAGCCAGATGAACAGAGCAAGATCCTGTCTCTAAAATAATAATAATAATAATAATAATAAAATTTTAAAAAGAACAAAAGAGAAGATCTAAGAAAATTGAAAGAATGGTATCAGAATATAACTTGGGCAAGTGATAACTATATAAAAAAGAGGTAGTGGTCCACAGACTACTTTCTAAACCTCTGTGTGTCTCCCCATTCAGCAAGCCGCAAATAACAACATACACCTGTAAATCAGAGTCAAGTGAGTTTCATCAATGACTAAAGCAAGGCTCCATTAACCTGTTTACAACAAAGATAGCAGCCCACTTTGAGTCTTGTGGGTCTCACAGTGGGCTGCCATCTTGGTTGTAAATAGGTTAATGCCTCCAAGGATCATTTTCTCAGAGTTAGACTCTCTTCCATGGTGAATGTTTTACAGCATTCCTTTTACAAAAATGTAATGAAAACCACTGAAAATGAGCACAGATAATTTTCAAACATATACTTGAGGCTGTAACTGCAATGTAAAACAGAAATGTAACAGGAAAGCAACTCTTATTTTAAAGCACCATAGCATTTTAATAGGTAAATGATAAGACAGGGATGGGACAAAAGACCCACAGGTTTGCTGTAGGTACAATCATTGAGATAGATACCAGAACTGCCAACACTGATGTGTTGTGTTGGCAACTCAAATAGCAGCAGGAGGATTTCCATAGATGGTGTTTTCCAAAGTGGTGACTAGTCCTTGATCAGGTTCTGATCAAGGCAATTGACTGCAGTCCTCTGTTTCCACTGTTTCGCTTTCTTTTGAATTTCATGTTGATTAAAACTGTTCAAACGTGGATGAAACTGGAGGTCATGATGTTAAGTGAACTAAGCCGGTCACTGGAAGACAGTGCAGATTTTTACTCCTGTGTAGGAACTCAAAAAAGTGGATCTCATGGAGATAGAGTGTAGAATGATGGTTACCAGAGGCTGGGGAGAGGTCTCTCAGTGGGCCACCATCGTGAGTCTCACAGTGGGCTGCCTTCTTGATTGTAAATAGGTTAATAGAGCCTTGCTTTAGTCATTGATGAAATCCACTTGAATATGTGTTGAATACTTAGAACAATAGACAGCCACAGTAGGTATCCATTAATTTCAATAATTAGTATTTGCAACCAAATTTATTCAGATGAGCAGTCTTCATGAAAACTAACTTTCTTGGGTAAGTAGGATGAAGCTGTTTATGAGTATAGCAGTGAGCCACTGAATGAATATACTCCTACCTAATAGATTATAACTTATGTCCTAGCTTATTGAGGCAAATTATAAACATATTGTTAACAGCAACCATTTATCACACAATG